CTCTGCATCTCGTTCCAGCATCTTGCTGGCCCAGGAACCCAGAGGGAGGTAGGCGATGCTGGTGATTACCAGGCTGATGGGGATAGGGCTGTAGGGCCTAAAATCAGGGACCAGTCTGTTCAGGAGCAAGGTCTTTTTAAGCCTGGGATCCAAAGGCTAGGGCGGGCCTTACGCGAAGGCGGAGCCTAAGAGCACAACGGGCGGGGTTTATGCAAACATGACCCTTTGCGACTTAGACCCAGGGTTGGAGCCCTAGAGCCGAGTGGGAGGGGCCTCTACTACTTAAACTCGGGCCGCCCTGAGCGCGGAGCTGGCTAGGCCTCTACATCGAGTGGGCGGGACCTCCCCTCACCAGACCCTCCCAGCCGTGGAAGCAAAGGCGGGGATGGGCGGGGCTATATAGACAGGACCCAAAGCAACTCAGACCCAGGGGAGGGGCCTCGAGCGGAGAGGGCGGGTCTTTTACAACTCTCTCAGGGGAGGAGCCTGAGCTCAGTGGGCGGGATTTCACCTCCAATAGGTAGCTTTACCCGAGTCTTGGTTTAGTCTCAGTCCATTAACGCCGCGTGAACTGCTTCCTTCTTGTTGCTAAATTTCATCCCCAGCGTGGAGGGTAGAGGGGAGACCTAGAGGCAGATGCAGAAAGAACGTGGCGTGTCTTGCGATTCAGAGATCCCTACTGGATTTTTCCCTCGGGGTCCCAAGCGTCCGGGCCTCAATGCACGCCTCGGAATCATGGCATTCGGGACCAATGCACCCTATCAAGGCGCAGGCACTAATGCAGCCCCTCCGGAACCTATGCATCGGAACGCCAATCGATTCCTTTTCGGGAGATCCTGGCGTCCAGCCCCCAATCCACTTCCCGAAGACCCAGGCGTCCAGGCCCGGACCCGTGCCCGCCTCACCTGCGGAAGGCCCCTCCCCGGGGGCGGGGCTCCAGGCCCCTCCCGCGGCGGCCGCTGCCTCTGCTGCGCTGCCCTCGGACGCTGCAAAGCTGCACCGCCCGGCGCGTGCCCAGCGACGGGAGGGGAGGGAGCGCGCGTGAGGGGCTCGGCCCAGCCTCATTTCTATCCCGTTTCCACGCGGGGCCGGAGGGGGCGTCAGTACGCATGCGCAGTCGCGGCCAGCGGAGGCTGCTGCCCAGAAGAAATGGAAGGAGGGGTGAGTGCGCAAGGCAGGCAAGTTGGTGAGCAAGCGCCGAGCTACGGGTAGAAGGGGCGTAAGAAAGTATACTGCGGGTTGCGGGGCCTACGGTGGCTGACTGGAGTCAAGCACGTGCAGGACCTAACTCGGGGAAACTGCGCTTAGAGATCACTGAGACAGTTCCCAACATATGCGCCTTCCTTTTCTCTGTCCCCCTCCCTTTCGAGAATTCCGTTGGGAGCTTGAGTTCCCTCTCCGAAGGGAGTTTCAAGAGCCGGCTGCCCATTTCACCCCTCAAAGCGTTTGCAAAGAAGCCAGGCCAATTAGTGAGAGGGCGGGGCGCAACGCGAGGCTTCGAGCAAGCTGACGCCCAACAAAAACATGTTATTTGCATAGCGCCCCGGCACCCTTCGCCGTTGGGTGATTCAAGAATCTCAGCCCCTCCCACCCCGATGCCGCGGTTCAGGTGTTGGCGTGGGGATGGGGGCCGCGGTTCCGGAAGCATCCCTGCCGGAGTTCTTCGGAGGGCTGGAGCTCCTGGTGCCAGGCCCAGGGTGGCACGCTTGGCACCTTTCCCCGGGCCGTGATGGTGCACTTTTCCGCCCAACACGGGAGTGACCGCGAAGTGCCCATAAAAATGCCCTGCATGGGTGGGTCTTCAGTCTGATAACCCACAAGGTCTGCTGAGTCCTGGGAGCCGTGGGAGTTAGACGGTGGGGTTATTCGAGCTCTGGAGCCAGATTGCCTGGGTAACTCTTTGGCTCGGCCACTTTCTAGCTGTGTAAGCTTGGCCAAGTCTCTCCACCTTTCTGGGTTGTTAGGATGAAATTCAGTAATCAATGGAAAGTTTAGAACAGTGCCTACAGTGGTCAGTACACGTTACCAATACTACTTGTTTTTATTGTGCATTGAACTAGGGCATGATGGGATCAAGGTCGTCCCAGAACAGCAAGTGCAGAGAGCTCAAGATGGGAAGGAGCATGCTATGTTCTGGGAATCTTTCCTACCTCGATGCTCCAAACTCACCTTCCTTTCCAGTGCTGGTATATGCCATGGTCCATCCTACTCCAGGGCCTTTGCACTAGCGGTTCCCTCTGTCCCCCCAAGGTCATTTCTCCATCAAATTGCTTGTCTGACTCCGTATGATCTCCTTTCAAATATTACCACAGCAGAAGGCCTCCCCTGTCCTCCCTAGCTCGTGGAGCCCCCTTCCCTCCATTACTCTGTTGTCGCATCTCCCTTGTATGCACATAACACAGCATACCCGTCCTCTAGACTGTATGCTCTGTTAAGATGAACAACCTGTCTTGTTTATCACTCTGTCCAGAACAGAGCTTAGCACATAGTCGGTGTCCAATAACTCTGTATCAAATAAATGCTGAAAAGAATTAACAGCCAGAAACTCTCTGTGATGGGAAGATATGTTGATGGGGACAATGGAGAACTTGAGGTCAAGGAGTTAGAAAGAGGCCTAGCTGAGTGGGAAACCAAGGGGGAGGGTTTTAAATATGGGAAGTGACATGAATGAGTTTGGGTTTTCATATACTCTTTTTTTTTTTTAGGTTATGGAAAATTTCAAACATAACCAAAAGGAGAGAAAGAGTATAATCAGCCCTTCACCAACCCATCACCCAGGTTCATCATGACCAATCTTATTCCATCATCCCCTTGCCCCTAAGGTCCTTGAAGCAACTTCCACACATTTCATCCAGAAACACTTCAGTGTGTGTCTCTAAAAAATAAGGACTTTCTTTCTATCTTTTGAACACAACCCAAAGTATCATTACCAAACTTTCAAACTTTCGGGTCGTTTCTTTACATTATCACACTTCTCCCATGGTCCCATGTATATCTTGTTTTTCCTTTCCAGAACAGTGTTTTCTTTCGAACATAGAGAAAGTGTGAGAGAACAGAATTGTTCTCTGCATTAATAATACCAGCGGCACCAGCATCAACAATTTCCTCCTCATGGCCAATGTTGTTTCATTTCTCCCACCCACTCCTCCCAGATGATTTTGAAGCTATATGCCAGACATCTTATCCCATAAATATCTTTTTCTTATTACACTTGGTGTATCTCCATCGGGACCTAAACAAGATCCACATGCTGTGTTTGTTTTCTGTGATTCTTCAGTCTCTTTGTCATTGACATTTTAAAAGGCTTGCTCTGGTTACCGCATAAAATAGATTGTAGGGAGGCAGAGCGGAAGCCAGAAGCCCAGTGAGGTGGCTGCTATATATTAATGACACGATTCATTCCCAGCATTTATTTAGCACTTTTTATATACCTGAAACTGTCTTGGGCGCTTTGTATACATTCGTTCATTTCATCCTGGCAGCAACTTTTTAAGAGGAAGCTCTACCATTATTCCCACTGTTCAGAAGAAGAAAATGAGGCACAAGGGGGGAGTCACACAGCCTGGAGGTAGCAGGGTCAGGATTTGAACTCCTGCAGCCAGGCCCTGGAATCCATGCAATTTGCATGTATGCTTTGCTGCTTCTTGACGGAGGCTGAGGGAGTGATGGTGGAGAAGTGGCCTGATTGGAGAGGTTAACTTAACGGGGCCTAGTGATGAAGGGGGAGGAGGTGACAGAGGAGGAAAGAGTCAAGGACGGTGAGGACAGAATGATAGCCAGCTCCTGTCAAGAGCTTGTTCTGTGCCACCTGTTCTCCAGGACTCTTTACATGTCTGAACTTATTAGATCTTCCCAATGAGGGAAGGAGCTATTTTCAACCTCATCTTGCAGAGGAGTAAACTGAAGCCCAGAAGAAGATAAGTTTTGAGCCCAAGGTCACACAGCTGGGAAGGGTGATGCTCAGGTTTCTACCTCTTAGGAGATCTCACAGCTGACCCAGAGGTGTGCATGCCTTCAAGGGTCTAACAATCCTGCCAAAATCATAGGAATCGGCCCCAGGGGTGAGGAGGTCTTATTTGGGGGACCCTGACAGTAAAGAGGGCCTGAGGATCCCTGTTTTCCTGTTTCCTCCTTCCCCTGAGCTCCTGGCAATCCCTGAGCCTATTTCAGCCCCAGTGTCTGCACCATTCTCCCCACCAAACTGGACAGGGCTCACCTCTGGGTCCCCAGCTTCGCCCAGCTTGGACCAGGTACACAGAAGCCCTCAAGTGAGGAATGAATGAGCAATATTCTCGGGGCGCCTGGGTGGCTCAGTTGTTAAGCATCTGCCTTTGGCTCAGGTCATGATCTTAGGGTCCTGGGATAGAGCCCCGCATCGGGCTCCCTGCTCTACGGGAAGCCTGCTTCTCCCTCTCCCACTCCCCTTATGTTCCCTCTCTCGCTGTGTCTCTCTCTGTCAAATAAATAAATAAAATCTTAAAAAGAATAAAATTAAATAAATGAGCAATATTATCTCCTTGACTTTGAACTTTCCTTTCTGCCAGTTTCTCTCCTCTCTGAGAGATTCTCTCCCTCTTTCTGCTCATTTCTCCTTCCTCTAATGTCCCAACATCTATGTTTCGAAATGTCTAGAATTTCCAAGTGTATCCTTCTGACCGTATTTCTTTGACGGACATCCCATTTCAACCCCAAATCTCTCCATGAATCTCTGAAAGTCTTTCCAGGTCTCTCTTCTTGGTATCTCGGAGTCCAAGTCTCTCTCAAATCTCTAAGCATCTCCCTTGTCTCTGAGTGGCTCTCTGGGTCTCTCTCCTGATAAAAACCACTAGGAATACATTAGGAGTCCCGCTATCAGTGTACTGGGGCCTCTTGTTGGGTTTTTAGTTCTCTCCCTGTCTGTGCTTGTCCCAGTGTCTCTCCCTCGCCTTTTGAGCCTTTTGAGTGTTTCCTGTTCGCCGTTTCTCCGGGTCTCAATGCCTTCTCGGTCTTTCTGTATTCTCTCCGCCTGACCGCCGTGAACCCCAGCGCCCGCGGCCCCTTTAAGGCGGGCCCCGCCCCCGCCCCGCCCCGCCCCTCCCAGGTCAGCCAGGGGCCACCCGGCTTCCGCCGGGGCTTGGCGTCGGCTCAGTCTCCACCCGGCCGCGGGCGCGATGGCGGGTTCCGTACTGAGGGTCGCCGGGAGGCAACTCAGCCAGCGCAGCGGCTCTGAAGTCCCCATCCTCCTACGGCAGGTGCGAGGAGGCTGGGTCCGCAGCGGGACTACTGGGCGCTGGGCGGCGGCAGGGGCGGGACCCCGGGGTCCTTTAAAGCGGAGAGATCCGGGATCCCCTGGGCTTCCTTTACGGAAGAGGTTGCTGGAGACCCTGATTTGGGGGGTATTTGGAAGTTGGAACTCGTTTCAGATGGAACAGATTCCTGACACCAAGGGGGAAGAAGGGACTGGGTTTTCTGTCTCTGGATCTTAGGAAGAGAATCGAGCGAGGCTCGGACTCTTGGGGCCCCAGTGAGTGGGAGTCTCGTTCTTCGCAGTCACCTGTCCCACGCCCCCTTCCCAGATGTTTGAGCCCAAGAGCTGCACCTACTCGTACCTCCTGGGTGACAGAGAGTCCCGTGAGGCCATTCTGATCGACCCGGTTCTGGAGACAGCGCCTCGGGATGCCCAGCTGGTCAAGGAACTGGGGCTGCGACTGCTGTATGCTGGTCAGTGTGGAGGCCGAACCCCTGGGTCTGGGGGAGGAGGGGGCTGGGGGCTGGGAATCCTGCGTCCTCTCTGTGCCCTCCCGGACCTGGGCCACCTCTCTCTCCCAGTGAATACCCACTGCCACGCGGACCACATTACGGGCTCAGGGCTGCTCCGGTCCCTACTCCCCGGCTGCCAGTCTGTCATCTCCCGCCTTAGTGGAGCCCAGGCTGACTTGCACATTGAGGATGGAGACTCCATCCACTTCGGGCGCTTCGTGAGTTGGATGCTGGGTCCCGAGAGGGTGGTGGCCTGGATTTCTTGGACTTAAGGGAAGAGGGGGCTGAGGGCGTGGGCTCCTGAGCCCCGGGGTAGGAGGGAACTCTGACCTGGGCTCCTGATCCCTGAGTTTGTCTCTGGGAGGAGGGCGCCATAAACCCAGGTGGGGCACTGGGGCAAGACGCTCTGGGCAGGTGTGTCTCTAGCCAAGCCCCTAAGTCAACAGCATTTGTGGAGTTTCCTATAGCCTTGGGGCAGCTCCTTTGGCCTGGCTCTCCATAAAAGTTGATTGAGGGCTAGAAATCTGAGGCCAGGGCTGAGGGAGAGACCTAGCTCAGTCTTCTAGAGCCACTGTTAGAGGAAGGAGCATCCCCTTGCCCAGGGCCAGGACTAGGGTGAGGCGAGTAAAGCGCCTAGGGTGCAACATTTAAGGAGGCACTCACTCTCAGGGTCATGCAAAGGCAGGGTAGGCACCTGCGAGTCAGCACCTCCTTAAATGTTCACCCTTCTGTGCCTGCTGGCCTCACCCTTGGTGGGGCTGTTGCCTCACACAGGAAGGGCCTGAAGGTTCCTACCTTCTCTCCGGTCTTTGTCACAGGCCAAGGTCAGCAGGTTTCCAGTCAGGATTTCAACCCAGAGCAATAGATCGGGGTGGAGAGGGTGCTGGAGGGGCGGGGGGGTGGTTGCCCTCAGAGGGAGGAGAGACAGCTGGTCAGGTTTTTCTCTGATGAGACTTGCTAAAGCTACGGAGAGCCTGGCTGACTTTGGGGACAGAATGGGCAAGTGATAGAGGGGGGACTTGACCTCCAGCTTAGAGGATTTTGCTAAATGGGGACAGTTTATCTGAGTCAGAGCATTTAGAGGAAATGAGAGCTGTGTGTGGGATCAGAGGGTTGAGCTACAATGGTGGCAGCCTCTTTATTTCAAGCCCTTTGCTGGAAGCAGGTAAAAAATTGCATTGCACCTTTATGTACACTGTCCGTGAGTGTGAGATGCTAACAAGCATTTCTTGAGTTTGAGCAGGCTTAGAGGGTGAAAAATGGTTGGGGTTTCGTGTCAAGATGAGCCCTTTGTTAGATTGGATGAGCGATGTTTGAATGAATGTCGAAGGGTTTAGCTGTGGCAGATTTAGCTTCAGTGTCTGGTTTTTTTCAAACGACTTAATTGATATCATTCACGAACCGTCCAGTTCATCCATTTGAAGTGTACAATTCAGTGACTTAGTATATTCAGAGTTGAGTCCATCGATCACCAGAGGGAATTGTAGAATATCTCCATCACTTCCGAAAGAAACCCCGCATTCCTTCGCTGTCACCCCAGCCCCTCCCCTCTCCCTCTGACAGCCTTAGGCAATTCACAAATCTACTCTCTGTCTCTACAGGTTTTGCCTATTCTGGGTGTTTCATAGAAATGGAATCATATATTGTGTGGTCTTTTGTGACTGGCTTCTGTCACTGATCATAAGTGTTCAAGGTTCATCCTTGTTGTAGCGTGTGTCAGTGTTTCATGCCTTCTATGGCTGAGTAATATTCCACTGTGTGAATATACCTCATTACTTCATTCATCATCCATCAGCCAATAGACATTTCCGTTCCTTCCATTTTTTGGCTATTATGAATAATACTGCTATAAATATTCACGTACAAGTTTTTGTGTGGCTGTTTTTCATTTCTCTTGGATATATATATAGGATGGAATTGCTGGATCAATAATAACTCTATGTTTAACAGTTAGAGGAACTGGGGTGCCTGGGTGACTCAGTCGGGTAAGTGTCCGACTCTTGATTTCAGTTTTGGTCTTGATCTCAGGGTTGTGAGTTTAAGCCCCATGTTGGGCTCCATGGTGGGTGTGGAGCTTATCTATAAAACAGTTGGAGGGGGGTGCCTGGGTGGCTCAGTCGATCAAGTGTCTGCCTTTGGCTCAGGTCATGATCCCAGGGTCCTGGGATCAAGCCCTATGTGGGGCTCCCTGCTCAGCAGGGAGTCTGCTTCTCCCTCTGCCCCTCCCCCTGCTCATGTTCTCTCTTTCTCTCTCCCTCTCTCTCCCAAATAAATAAAAGCTAAAAAAAAACAAAAACAGTTGGAGGAACTAACCAACTATTATCCGAAGTGGCCGCACCATTTTACGTTCCCACGGGCAGCATATGAAAGGCCTAATTTCCAGGCACCTGGGTGCTCAGTCAGTTAAGCGGTGGACTCTTTGATTTAGGCTCAGGTTGTGATCTCAGGGTCCTGGGATCAAGCCCTGCATCAGGCTCCGTGTTCAGCGGGGAGTCTGCTTCAGGATTCTGTCTCTCCCTCTGCCCCTCCCCACCCCTCTCTCCCAAATAAATAAATAAATCTTTAAAAAAAAAAAAAAGTCCCAGTTTCTCCACATCCTTGCCAGCACTTGTTAGCATCTGTCTTTATGATTATTCGATGTTTCATGTGGTTTTCATCTGAGTTCTTTATAAACCTTTAGAGATGGTTACACTTCTTCTCCCTCATTTTCTCCCCCCCAGTTTAAAAAAATTGACTTGTGACATGCGTGTTATATAGTAGAAAGTGTGCATATTGTATGTGTGCCGCTTGTTAAATTTTTACATATGTTTACACCTGAGTATCCACCGCCGAGATCCAAATACAGAGCGTACTCATCACCCCAGAAGGCCTCCTTGTCCCTCTTCCTGGCCACTGATACCCCCATCAAGAAACCAGCTTCCGACATTTATTTATTTTAAAATTTTTCTTTTTTTTCCTTATGATAAGGACTTTGAAGATTTGCAATCTTAGCAACTTTTTTTTTTTTTAAAGTAGCTCCCATGCCGGACAGCGGACTTGAACCCACAACCCTGAGATCAAGAGTCACATGCTCTACTGACTGAGCCAGCCAGGGGCCCCTCTTCCAACTTACTTAATCATAGATTAGTTCTATGTGTTCTGGACCTCATCAACAGGACTCATACCATATGGGCTCTTTTATGTTCTGGCTTCTTTCACTCCACATCATGTTGTGTATAGTTGCAGTTCTTTCCTTCTGTTGCTCTATCACAGGGATTGGCAAACTTGTTCTGTAAAGGACCAGACAGTAAATATTTTTGCTTTTGCAGGCCATATGGTCCCTGTTGGTGTGAAAGCAGTCAGAGACAATGCATAAATGAATAAGCATGGCTGTGCTCCAAAAGAACTCCAATTCTGGCCTCTGAAGTGTTAATTTCAATAATTCTCATTTTGATTTTCTTTTTTTTTCAACCATGAAAAAACTTAAAAAGCCACTTAAAAACCACTCGTGGCCCTCAGGCTGTACAAAAGCAGACCACAGGCCAAATTAGGTGTACCAGCGGTGGTTTGCCAACCCCTGATGTGGAGCATTTTATTGTGTGAATTTATGTTAATTTGTCCATTCTCCTTTTGATAGTTGATGCCAGTTTGGAGCTATTTGTGAATAATGCTGCTGTGGAGCATTTGTTTGTGTGAATTTATGAGAATTTATGAAAATTTATCCATTTTTCCTTTTGATCGGTGATTCCAGTTTGGGGCTATTAAGAACAGTGCTGTTATGAAGGCTCTTATGCAAATCTCTTGGTGGACATTACTCTCAATTCCATGGAATGGACTTTCTGGGTCAGAGGACTGACCTACGCTTAACTTTAGTAGAACTTGCCAGTTTTTTGAGCTGGTTGTATTTTACACTCACAGCGGGCCAGATTTGGATGGTTTCATTGTATAATGAATTTTCTGTTTTAATGAGCAATGAGATTTGAACATTTTATCTCCAGTGAGGGGTGGCAGATTCGGAAAGTTAGTCTTGCCTGTGAAGTATGTTAATTTAGAGCGCTGCCAGATACAGAGGCCCCAGATGCCACTTTAGAGATTCTGATTTCATTGTTCGGGGTAGACACAGGGAATCAGTCTATTTTATTTTATTTTTTTTAAGATTTTATTTATTTATTTGAGAGAGAAAATGAGATAGAGAGATCATGAGGGTCAGAGGGAGAAGCACACTCCCTGCTCAGCAGGGATCCCGATGCGGGACTCGCTCCTAGGACTCCAGGATCATGACCTGAGCCGAAGGCAGTTGCTTAATCGACTGAGCCACCCAGGTGCCCTGGGAATCAGTCTATTTTAAAAGCTAACAGGTGGGGCGCGGTTGGCTGGCTCAGTCAGTGGAGCATGGGACTCTCCATCTTGAGGTTATAAGTTCGAGCCCCACCTTGGGTGTTGAGATGACTTAAAATCTTTAAAAAATAAAATAAAATAAAAGCTCATAGGTGATTCTCATGTGGTCCAGATGAGAATTTCAGTGCTTCCTTCTATTTGGAACTAATTATTATTTTCTTAATTAATTAATTAATTTGTCAGAGAGAGAGAGCACAAGCAGGGGGAGCGGCAGGCAGAGGTAGAGGGAGAAGCAGGCTTCCCACTGAGCAAGGAACCAGATTCAGGACTCAATCCCAGGATCCGGGGATCATGACCTGAGCCGAAGGCAGATGCTTAACGGACTGAGCCACTCAGGCGTCCCAGGAACTAATTATTTTTTTAAAGATTTATTTATTTATTTGAGAGAAGCAGGGGGAGGGGCATTAGGAGAGGGAGACAAGCAGATTCCTGAGATCATGACCTGAGTGGAAATCAAGAGTCTGTCTCTTAACGGACTGAGCCACCCAGGCACCCCTGGAACTAATTATTTGAATTGTGGAACAAATCTTCCCTCCTCACAACATTTTACAAAAAATTACAAGCATACAGAAAAGTTGAAAAGATTTGACAGCATACACGTATCCATCCGTCACCTATCTTATTTTTTGTTGCATCCTCAAGTTACAGACATCAGTACACTGTCCCCTAAACGTTAGAACAACTAATGTCGTTTTCTTTTCACAAAAGAAAGGAAGGAAGGTTTAGCTGACGGAGGTTCAGACTGTTTAGCCGCAATGGAAAAAGACACTGGGTTTTCGAGCTTTGAGTGCACAGAAACAGTGGCTGGTTATACCAAGGTTAGGTGCTTTTGAATAATGGA